TCTCCTTTACGCCACTGTTCTATGTTGCAGCAGCTCAGGCTGCATCTTAATATAATTTGAGCACATTTCTTAACCTCCCTGAGCTCTTGCTTTTTCACCTGTAAAATGATCATATTTTCTTCAAAAGGTTATAGGAGTTAAGTAACACACCTGATAGATGGTAAGTGCTCAACAAATACTTGAATTTATTATAAGCTCAATGACCGTTCATTCTCTCTCCTTTCTAAATTAGTTTTAATATTTACCCTCTCAATTCCCAGTGGTGGGAAAAAAACCAGCCCCGTGTAGCTGCTTGTCTTCAACACAGCAAGAAAAGAGAAGGCTAAGAAGGTTGTGTCCTATTTGTTTCCCTGCATGAAGAGGGAGGCCCCGGGAACCCCTGAGAGCAAGAAGTGTGGGGCCCTCAAGGGGCAGGCCTGGGCTTGATACTGCCTGGCACTCCCTCCTGACCACCACTTACCAGAGAGAAGCAATCTTGCTCTACTATCATCAGATGCCATTCCTTGATTTGGAGTTGCATATTTGAGAAAATGTGGGCAACTCAAATAAAAACAAAACACACAAAAAAAAACTAAACAAAAGTGCAGTCAATCCTTTCCAGAAACAGCAGAATGAGCACTCCAAAGGGACTCATGATGAAAGGGCATGCTATTAATAATGAGACCAGGACCATAGGCAAAACCCAGGACTGGTGGGCACCCTACCAATACCAAGAACACCAGCATTTCAGGCTTTCAAAACAATGTCTCAAGATCTTATACACATGGAATGAATTCGAATTCTTCAAAAATGTCTTGAGTATTCATGGACTCTTTCATTTTCACATAATTTTAAAGTCAGTTTGTCAATTCCACACTCCCTACCCCCATCCCCCCACACCACCTCTCAGGTTTTTGATTGAGATGATGATGAATTTCTAGATCACTTTGGGGAGAACTGTCATATTTACAACACTGAGTTTTCCAATCCAAAACCAGGGTATATCTGCCCATTTACTCAAGTCTTCTTTAATTTCTCTCAAAATTTATAGTGCTCTCCATAAAGGTTTTGCACATCTTTTATTAGATTTATTCCTAGGTACTTTTTATTTATAATGCTACTATACACACAAGTTTTTAATTGCAATGTGTCTGTTGATGGTATATGATAATTTATTTTTATAAGTTGATTTTATATCCAGCAACTCGCTAAATTATTATTGCTTTGATTAAGTTATTTGTAGATTGTTTTGGACTTTCTATACATACAATCATATCATCAATGAATAATAACAGTTTTGCTTTTTCCATTCAAATTCTTTTATCTTTTTCCCCCCCCTTTTCTAATTTAGTGGGCTGGCTAAAACCTCCATCACAATCCTCAACACACCTGGTCAGAGCAAGCACCCATCTTCCTCCCACTTTCACAGGGAAAGCTTTCATTATATCGTCAGTATAAAGGGTTGCTAAAAGTTTTTTTATAAGAATAAAGGAAGTTCCACTACTTTCTCCCTACTACTTTGGAAGTTGTACACTTTCTATTTTTATAGTGGTTCCTTAGAACTTGTAAGTTGTACACTTATTAAAATCTACAGTTAATCGATATCTTTACCCAATCCCAGCTATTACACTGACTTTGGAATGCTTTACCTCCATTTTTACCTCCTTCTCAATTTATGCTATTATTTTCATGTATTACATAATTCTAGCTTGATTTTACTCCCTAAGACACTGTTGTTATTATTATTATTATTATTATAAACAATTAATGTGCATTTATATTTGCTTTTCATTCTTTCTTGAATATCAGTTCTTCCACTTGGGATCACTTTTTTCCACACATTCTTTACAAGTGTCTTTAGTAAAGGACTGCTAATGACAAACTCAGTTTTTTTCCCCTAAAAATGTCTTTATTTCATCCTCATTCTTGAAAGATATTTTTGCCTGATACAGAATTAGAAATTAGCAATTGTTTACTCTCAGGGCAATGAAGACATTATTCCACTGGCTCTGACTGCCACTGCTGCACTTGGGAAATCAGCTGTTAGTCTGACTATTGTTTGGAGGACAATCTGTCTTATTTCTCTGGTTTAAGATCCCTCTTTGCCTTTGGTGCTCTACAGTTTTACTCTCTTCCAACTAGCTGTAAATTTTCTTTTTATTTATCCTGCTTATGATTCATTTGTCTTCTTGAATCTGCATACTGGTATTTTCATAATTCTTGAAAATCTTTAGCCTTTATCTTTTCGAATAATAAATCTGCCCTCATTCTCTCTTTTCTCCTTATAACACACTGAGTAAACATGTGTTAGACATTCTCCCTCTATCCTCCATGCCACCTAATCTCTACTCTATATTTGCTATCATTTTCTCTATGCTTCATTCTAGGTAATTTCTCCTGTCCTGTTTTCTGGTTCACTGATTTTCTCTTCACTGTATATAATTTGATATTAAACCCATATGCTGAACTCTTTTTTTTTTTAAAGATTTTATTTATTTATTTATTCCCCCCAAAGCCCCAGTAGATAGTTGTACATCATAGCTGCACATCCTTCTAGTTGCTGTATGTGGGATGCCACCTCAGCATGGCTGGAGAAGCGGTGCGTCGGTGCGTGCCCAGGATCCGAACCCGGGCCGCCAGCAGTGGAGCGCACCCACTTAACCGCTAAGCCATGGGGCCGGCCCAGATATGCTGAATTCTTAATATTGGATATAGTATTCTTTATTTCTAGAAGTTCTATTTGGTTCTTTTACAAATATTATAGATCACCTTTTTTAGTTTCCTACAGGCATTTTTATTTCTTTAAATAATTCTTTAGAAATAAAGAGCATGCTAGTTTTATAGTCTGTTTCTGATAATTCCAAAATCTGAAGGCTTGGAGGCTCTGTTTCCACTGGTTTTTCACACATGGTGCCTTATTTCTTTGTGTGCTTGGTCAATTTTGTCTGTGCAGTAATCAACATACTTAAAAAATAATCTGCGGGGATTTTTTGCATTTTAGGATGAAGGTAACTTCTTCCGGAGAGGTTTTATGTCTGCTTCTGCAGAATGCCTGAAGACATGACCAAACCATAAAACCTTCAATTAAATTCACACTGGATTTCCCTGAACTACAGGCAATGTGACCTGGGCTCAAATCCTCACAAAGGCTAATGCACAGCCACAAGTTTTCTCCCCTTTTTTACCTGCTACATTCAACCAGGTGGGGGCAGGGATGGAGTGAGGAAGGTATGCTTTTAGCTCACCCTCCTCTGAGGATTCAGCCCTTCAGAGCCCCATTTAATATGGGAAGGCTCTCCTTTAGGCTCTCTACTTTGAGAGGACTATAGATCTTAACTTCTTATCCTACAAGGCCTCTAAATTTCAAGTCCCACTTTGTCCAGATCAGCAAATGCTCTCAAGACAAAGGCAGAATCCATCCTATCATGTTTAAGTAATCTTTCTGGGTTCTTACTTTCTGTTATATTTTGGTCTAGAACTTCCTTGCTATATTGTCAGTTCTCTGATTTTTTTTAATCCAACAATTTTAGTTGTTTTCCATAAAGTAGGGAGTGGGAGGATATAGGGTAGTCCAAATAACCTACCCTAACACTTATCAAAAACGTAAGACATTGATGTTTTCCTTGCAAAATATACCTGGATACACAATTCTATACTGAAATTTATATTCTCTCATCACTATGAGGAATTATTCTACTCCCTATTGGCTTCTATTCATACTGAGACATCTGCTGTCAACCTAATAGATGTTCCTTTGTAGGTAATCTATCTTTTATCTCTAGTTTAAGATCTTTTTGTCTTTGGTGCTATACAATTTCAGCATATGAGTGTGGGTTCCTTTTTATTTATATCACTTGGGACATAGTGTGCTTCCTAAATCCATGGATTTATATCTTTTATTAGTTTCAGAAAAGTCAAAGCTATTAATACTTCGAATAATGCCTCTCCTCCATTTTCCCTGTTTTTCCATCCTGGGATTCCAACTGCACATTTACTACACATTTTTCTTCTATCCTCCATTTTCTTTTAATCTAATTCTCCATCTCCCATCTGTCAGTGCTGAATGGTGGATAATTTCTTCAGATATATATTCCAGCTCACTAATTCTGTCCTTAGCCATGGTTAATCTGTTAGATCCACATATACTGAGTTTTTAATTTCAACATTTTCTTTTTTCATTTCTGAAAGTTCCTCCTGGATCATTTTGGTACTTTACTTTTCATTACTAACTTTTATTCTATTTTGTATTTCTTCAAACATTTCATACATTATTATATATACTGGATCTGATTATTCAATATCTGCAGGCCTTGGGGCATCTAACTATGCTAACTCTACAGTGGGGGGTGTGCGTGTATGTGTATTCTGATTGTAAATTCAAGTGTGCTTAAACTTAATCTACAGAAATCCTGAGGGCCTACACTGAGTATGCTTTCCTCTGAAGAGGATTTACGTTTTCTTCAGCAAGGAGCAAAGGAGTGCTATCATAATACTCACTGTTCCTTTTTCTTTTCTCTCCTCTTTTGGCCTTTGGAGAGTTATCTTAATTTTTAATGCACCAAAGTGCTCACCAGAAATTATATTTACTGTAATTTATCCAGCAAGTACTTGGATTGCGATGGGAGAGCCTGTTAGAAGCATCTAATACTGCTAGGAGCACAAGCCCACCCTCTCTTTTTCATCTTCTACATGGAGCGTGTGTTCTGGATGGCAACCATAACAGTGTGTGCGTCCTATCTCACGTGTTTCCCCCAGTGAGACAGAGTATATACTTCACTACATGCACATGGCTGTCCCATTTTATTTGGATTACATTTTTGCTCGGAGAGACCAAGTAATTTTTCCACAACACAGCATTTCAAAACCAGACACAGGAGGCTCAAAAAACAACCAAAAGACAATAGACTGCATGCACACTTTCAAAACTAAATTTTTAGCTGTCATTCATCTTTGAACTTCCACTTATACAGTATATTTGCATAAATTACAATAAAACAGAATCAAAAATGAAATTATCTTACCTTTTCTGGAAACTTCTTGTTTAAATTTTGAATTCAGGCAAAATATTTAAAAAGCTACGGTTTTTTTCTTGGAGTACATGCAACTTTAAGAAAAATTTTTTCATTCAGTGGAAGATTTATAATCTCTTCATCTGAAAAACAAGAGAAAAAAACTTATTTTATCAGACCATTTCATGATTAAGGAACTAAAAACTCCCTTGTCTTTGCTTGTTCTAGAGAGATTGGTACCAATGATATAAACTCACTTGATGTCTGGTTAACTATCTCAGTGGTTGGACTATTACACTAAAGAATTCAATGAAATGAGAAAGATCTCTATGAAGTTGTCCAGTTTCATAACTATACTCTATCACCATCAAGAAACACATATCCCTGGGGGCCAGCCCCGTGGCGTAGTGGTTAAGTCCAGCGTGCTCCACTTTGCAGCCTGGGTTCACAGGTTCAGATGCCAGGTGCAGACCTACACTACTCGTCAAGCCATGCTGTGGCAGCATCCCACATACAAAATAGATGAAGACTGGCACAGATGTTAGCTCAGGGCGAATCTTCCTCAGAAAAAAAATATATATATATTTGTGTAAATACAAAAATACCCGGATCTAACAAAATAAAATCCACAGTGTCTTGGCATTTAATCAAAAAAATTACCAGGCATACAAGGAAGCAGGAATACATGAACCATAATGATGAGAAAAATCAATCAAAACCAACCCAGAAATGATACAGATGATAGAATTAGTAGACAAGGACTGTATTCCATGTGTTCAAAAACAGAGAGGAAAGATTAGACATGTTTTAAATAGAGACATGAAAGATAACACAAAGACCCAAATAGAATCATAAAAATACTCTTAATCCAAAAAAAGGCAGAAAAAGAGGAACAGAGAACAAAGAACACACTGTCCTTTTCCTGTAGCCTCTCCACCAGGACACATGAAGTGGGACCACCACACAACACAATCTTGGTTCTTTCCTCACCCCCCCACCGACCCTCCAACCCACACCAACACTCACTACTTCCTAAGTACACTGAGCGTCTCTCACCACTATCACTTCCGCACATGGGTCCCCTCTGCCTGGAACACCTCACTTCCCACTGCCCCTACTTGGCAAACTCCTGCCTGCTCTTTAAGTACAAATTCAACTACAACCACATTAGTCAAGCTTTCCTGAGTCCTTCCTCAGTGTTCTCAAGAGTCCTTTTTTTGTTTTTTTTTGTGAGGAAGATCAGCCCTGAGCTAACATCTGATGCCAATCCTCCTCTTTTTGCTGAGAAAGACTGGCCCTGGGCTAACACCCGTGCCCATCCTCTTCTACTTTATACGGGACGCCGCCACAGCATGGCTTAGCAAGCGGTGCGCTGGTGCGCGCCAGGGATCCGAACCTGCGAACCCCAAGCTGCCGCAGCAGAGCGCGCACAATTAACGGCTTGCGCCACCAGGCCGGCCCCTCACAAGAGTCTTTTTAAACCTCTTTTAGAGAACCACAGGATTGTAATAATCTAGTTTAAATATTTTTATTTATTTTAAATTAAGAAATTTTTTAGGGGCCGGCCCCGTGGCATAGCGGTTAAGTGCACATGCTCCACTGCTGGCGACCCGGGTTCGGATCCTGGGCGCGCACCGACACACCGCTTGTCAGGCCATGCTGTGGCAGCACTCCATATAAAGTGGAGGAAGATAGGCACAGATGTTAGCTCAGGGCCAGTCTTCCTCAGCAAAAAGAGGAGGATTGGCAACAGATGTTAGCTCAGGGCTGATCTTCCTCACACACACACACAAACACACTAAATGAATAAATAAATAAGTTTTAAAAAAATCCTTTATGAAAAAAAAAAAGAAAGAAATTTTTTAAAAACATAGACAGGTCCAGGGGCTGGCCTGGTGGTGTAGTGGTTAGGTTGGCGTGCTCGGCTTCGGCAGCCTGGGGTTCGTGGGTTTGGATCCCGGGTACGGACCTACACACCACTCATCGAGCCATGCTGTGGTGGCAACCCACATCCAAATAGTGGAAGATTGGCACAGATGTTAGCTCAGGGACAATCTTCCTCAAGCAAAAAGAGGACAATTGGCAATAGATGTTAGCTCAGGGCCAATCTTCCTCACCAAAAAAAAATATATATATATATATATATATATATATATATATAAAGGACCAGAGAAGAGTATAACAAATATCCATGTATTGAGATTTAATACATGTTAACATTTGTTCATATGCCTCCTACTTAAAAACAAGTAAAACATTTCTAATACACTGAGGAACCTACAACCCATTCAACTCTCTTCCTTCTGAAAGATAATCATTAACTTGCAATATCCATAATTTCATTTTTACTAAAGTATCCATAGTAACACATTGTTTTGAGAATATATTTAAATACTTTTATAACACATACATGTGCTCTCCAAATGCTTTAAGCTCAACTTTATATTTTTGAAAATTATCTATATTGATACAGGTAGTTTTAATTCTTTCATTTTAAACATGGTAGACACTATTCCTTTATATAAAGAGGTGTTTTTTACCCATTTCCCTCTTGAGGTACTTTCAGGGTGTTTCTGATTTATCACTTTTCACAAACAAGGTTGCCCCAAACATTCTGAATATGCATCCTTTGCACACTGTTTTTCCCAGCTTTTATTTGCCTGGAAATGGAATTGCTGGGTCACAAGACAGATACTTTGAAATTTAGCAGCTATTATTCAATTGCTCTCCAAAGTCCTTTACTAAATCAATGCACGCACCCATCTGCTTGTATAGTATTCCTCTTCCCCCAAGCTGTCTACCCTCAGTATGGTCAGACTTTTTCATTTTTGCTATTCTGATGCATGTGAAGCGGAATTCTCATTTTAATTTGCATTTCCATTATGATTATCGAGGCCCTCATTCAAGGTCACTCAGCTAACAACCTGGTTAATCTACACTAGCCAGAAGAGAGAATCAGAACTTGAAATGTACACCCTAAATAGTTCAGGCTTCTGTTGTGATCTTGTTTATTAATAAGATTTATGTAATGACTAATTTGCTTTAATTTACAATATAGATGCAACTGTTTCAATATAACAGTTACTACTAACAAAAAAAAACCACTGAATACATTTCAAAACTAATTTCCTCTTCATCACCTGAAGTAATTATTTCCCTTCTGATTATGCCACCAACTTGATGTAGTTAAGTTTGTTTGTTTGTATTTAGGCTCAGTTGGGGGGGACTGCTTTTTTGTTATTGTTTTTGATTTAATTTTATTTTTTACTTATGTAAAATATTTCTACGGTTCTGATTCAAAACTGTATAATAGGTGTTCCAGCCCCACAGACCCACTCAACTGAAAGCAGTGGTGCTGAGAGCTGAACAAAGACACTAGATGTCCCACAGTCCTGGGAGGTGTTGGGGTTCCAATCCAGGCAGAACCAAGAACCTTGCAGAGCACCCTTGCATACCCAGCTGGGACCTGCAGAGTAAAATTTACAACCTAAGCAAAGGCCACACCCAAAGACTAAGTTCAAAACCAAAACAGACCCACTCAAACAAAGACTAAAACCAAGCCCGACAAGACCAAAAAGATCCTCCAGTAATTTAACTATCTGCCAGAACGAAACCAGACCATAAACCAGATACCAACATATAATAAAAAATTATTACACATATAAAGCAACAGAAAGGGACCTGCCCCGTGGCTTAGTGGTTGAGTGCGCGCGCTCCGCTGCTGGCGGCCCGGGTTCGGATCCCAGGCGCGCACCGACGCACCACTTGTCCGGCCAGGCTGAGGCGGCATCCCACATACAGCAACTAGAAGGATGTGCAACTATGACATACAACTATCTGCTGGGGCTTTGGGGGAAAAATAAATAAATAAAATTATTA